TTTTTGTGTTTTTAGGAGAGACAGGGTTTCACTGTGTTAGCCAGGATGGTCTCGATCTCCTGACCTCGTGATCCACCTGCCTCGGCCTCCCAAATCTCAGCTGGGATTACAGGCGTGAGGCACCGTGCCCGGCTGCTTTTGTTTGTTTGTGCAAAAGGTAATGTTTGTCCACTAGTGCCCTGCACAGATGCGAGCATCAATCATGTATCCAGTGACACATCCCCTGTGGATACCTAAGGTGTCATCGGAAACTGTCCCCATCAATCCACCTGACTGTCTTTCTCAAAACACCACACACACCAACTTCAGAAATGGACCTGCTGGGCGTGGTGGCTCACGCCCGTAATCTTAACATTTTGGGAGGCCGAGGTGGGTGGATCACCTGAGGTCAGGAGTTCAAGACCAGCCTGGCCGACATGGTGAAACCCCATCTCTATTAAAAACACAAAAAATGAGCTGGGCGTGGTGGTGGGCACCTGTAATCCCAGCTACCCAGGAGGCTGAGGCAGGAGAATGGCTTGAACCCAGGAGGCACAAGTTGTAGTGAACCAAGATCGTGTCACTGCACTCCAGCCTGGGCGACACAGCAAGACTCCGTATCAAAATAAACTAAAATAAAATAAAATAACAGAAACAGACCAATTCTAAAGAAGTATTTCTATCTTTGCTTGGAAGGTTGCTTAGACTTCAGTAGCTTCGACGTTTCAAGAGGTCTGGGTTTGTAATTCCGAACATGGAGAATAGGAATATTTTAGAATTCAGCAAACATGCAATGGTATTTTGGATAATGGCAGCCAAGTCTCTCACTGTCAAAGAAGTGAGTTACAGGTTTGGAAAGACAGGCTACAGTGAACCTTATCATGTTGGGTTTTAAGTGGAGGTATCTGGAGGATAGATAGAGATAGACAGATAGGTAGATAGATAGATAGATAGATAGATAGATAGATACATAGATACATAGATACATAGATACATAGATACATAGTAATGTTAGATAGATAGAATTATATAGATGATGATAGAAATAGTTAGACAAACAGATAGACACAGATAGGTAGGGATTGATGGGTAGATGGATGAATCAATGGACAGGTGGGTGTATAGATGGAAGGCAAGTGGATGGGTGGGTGGATGGGTGACTGGATGCATGAATAAATGGATGAACAGATACATAGATGAATGGGTGGATGGGTGGATGGATGCATGGATAGATGGATATGTAGATGTGTACATGGATGGGTGGATGGATGGATGGATGAGTGGATGAAAGTGTGGCTGAGTGCATGGGTGGATGGATGGTTTGATGGATGGGTAGATGGATGTATTGGTGGATGGATGGTAGATGAATGGTGGCTGGCTGGCTGGCTGGCTGGATGGATGGATGGATGGATGGATAAGTGGATGAAAGGGTGGGTGGATCGGTGGGTGAATGAGTGAGTGGATGGATAGATAAATGGATGAATAGATAGGTGAATGGGTGGGTGCGTGGATGGATGGATGGATGGTGGATGGATGGTGGATGGATGGATGGATGGATGCATAGATGGATGAAAGGGTGGGTGGATGGGTGGGTGGATGAGTGAGGGGATGGATGGATAAATGGATGAACAGATAGGTGACTAGGTGGATGGATGGATGGATGCATGGATAGATGGATATGTAGATGTGTACATGGATGGATGGATGGATGGATGGATGGATGGATGGATGGATGGATGGATGGATAAATGGATAAAAGTGTAGGTGAATGTATGGGTAGATGGATGGTTTGATGGGTGGATGGATGGATGTGTTGGCGGATGGATGGATGGATGGATGGATGGATGGATGGATGGATGGGTTGATGGGTGGCTGAATGTATGAGTGGATGGATAGTTTGATGGATGGGTGGATGGATATATTGGTGGATGGATCAATGAATAATAGATGATGGATGGATGGATGATGAATGGGAAAAGATAGATGAGATAAATTGCTGGATAGATTAACATGAATATATCTACCGATCAATCAATCATAGATAAACACACACACGCAAACATACAGTTCCTAGTTCTGGCCACCAAAAGGGCATACAAGCAGTGGATATTCCAGGAGCAATAAATACAGTTATTATTCATGTATTTCCTTATAAATACATTTCGTCCCAGCTACTTGGGAAGCTGAGGCAGGAGAATTGCTTGAACCCGGGAGGTGGAGGTTGCAGTGAGCCGAGATCGTGCCACTGCCGTCCAGCCTGGGCGACAAGAGCGAGACTCCGTATCAAAGAAAAAAAAGAAAAGAAAAGAAAAAAGAAACTTTCACACTCATTGTTTAAGTTTTACAAAACAAACAGTGCCTGGTTGCAAGGGAAACCACAAACCAAAATAGGACAAGAAGAGGGCACTTAAATAAAGGATATTTCATGCAGGCCGGTGGTGAAAGCTTACCTGTTGCTACTTGCCCCAAAGCCATCCAGCCTCCCAGCAGAAAGACGGCAGCTCCCCACAGCAGAACCAACCGTCCCATGCCTGAAACAGGAGTGGAGAGTGAGGTCCTCAGGAACCTGCCACCAGCAGATCGCTCATGACTCATAAGCAGAGGTCACCCTCGATTTCAAAAAGGCAGAAAGGAAATTAGGGAAATGATTACAGGCAGGAAGCACAGTGACGCTCGATTTTAAAAGATACACTTGTCAAACACACACACACACACACACACACACACACACACACACA